CACTAAACTTTATTGCTATCACATACGGGGGCTAATAAACCCCCCCTATGTGATAGCAAAATATGTGACAGGTCCTCTTTATGGAGACATCAGGGGTCTCCAAGACCCCTAATGTCACCTAGGACCCCCCAAAAGAAGCTGATGAAGCAGAGATCTGCTCCATCAGCTTCTTTGCAGCTTCTGAAGCTGGAGAGTGAAACGGGAAGTCAGAAGTGATGTATTATACAACACTTCCGCATTCTTTCAGAGGAGAGGGGACCGGAGAGAGCTCGTGTACCGAGCTCCCTCTGAGCCCCTGTGACACAGGCGACATGCTGATCCCGGGCTCGCACCGGGCACAGCGGAGCCCGGGATCAGCGGGACAACAGCGGGGGGGACAGCAGAGGGAGGGGGGGGGCCGCACCGATCGTCGCTAAATACAAGCAATCCGCCGGCTGTAAAGCATGTATATTAACGTGCATCGCTGCCCGTTTTTAAATTGCGTCCATTTCCCGCAGACACGCGCGCAAGGCGGCGTGTCTGAGCGGACGTCTAGAGACGCCCGCTCAGATCTAGAGAGCTCCTGGCCGGCCGTTTTTTTACTACGGCCGGCCCGGAGGCAGTTAAAGGCTTCCACAAAGCTGCTTGAAGCTGGCAGAAAGCTTTCCAAATGGTTTGCTGGACGCATTGCTCTTATACAAGCTGAAGCCCGTGTGTACAAGGTCCAAGAGATCTCCTCTTTAAAGGAGAACTATGAGGTCAGGGCTTTTCCCCATAGTTCTCCTTAGGGTAACGGGAGGACACAAACTAGCGTCCTCCCGTCACCCTAAGCTCAGTATATAGGGAGCTCGCGGTATACTGAGACGCCGCAGCCGGAGCGGATCCCGACAATTGTGCCGGTATCCGCCCAGCTGCGTGACTGACAGCTGGCTCTGCCTATCTAGAGCTGTACCCGCCCCCTCCCCCGTCCGTTCTGCCAGTCAGCGCTGGCGGATCGGAGCGGGGAATCCAGCCCCTCCCCCTGTCACGGCAGAGAGCTGTGACAGGATCGAGAGGTGAGGGAACGCCGGTATGTGTTCTCTCACCTCCCGATCTACTGAGCCGACCTGTGACAGTCTCATTGTCACAGGTCGGCTAGAACTATGAGGTGAGTGAAAAGCACCCCCCCCCCCATAGTTCTCCTTTAAGGATGGAGCACCATGGTAGAAGTATGTCCTCTCTGTGGAGTGACTAAAAGGAAAGGATGCAGGAAGCCTCCAAAGGGCAGCTGCAGCATCACGTCAATGCTGCCTACGTGGCCGGCTATAAATAGAGAACATGTATGTAGAATCTATGTGGAGCCGCACTCGTAGGGTTACTAGTTTTATCCAAGATTGACCCGTCACCCATCTGAATGAGAGTTTATCATTATCACAATGAACATGTTTACAGTTTGGTTTGCGAGGGAAATTCTCTTGATCTTGTTCTCTGTTTCCTCCCCAGATAGCAGCATCACGGAGCAGCAGTCCCGTCTGAAGAACGATGGTACTTCCTTCTACTATATACATCTGTTTTAGTTTCAGTGGAAAGCAAATTCTAGCGTGAAAATCTGTGGTTTTCAGACATATGATAATGTTTTGCGGAACACACGAGGCTGTACAGGAAGAGGGTGGGGGCGGTAGATGGTCCCTGATTCCTTCAGCAATGATGGCCGCTGTGTAGGTTGAGAATTTACATTTTAAGTTTTAATATGTAAAAGTCGTATTTTTTTTTTCTCTTTGGATACAGTAGGGATGCGTTGGAACCTCCTATCTCTTAAAATCCATTGTTGGGTGGGAATATCTCTTGGACAGCAGTCTGGATGACAAGGGCCCAACGTAGGCTTGTATCCCAGATCAGCTTCAAGTGTAGAGAGGAAAGCACCAGACTGGTTGTATAGAGTCCAGAAGTAGTTGCATTCAATGTTATCAGCAGGGCCAGATTTACCACCAGGCCACAGAGGACGGGCCACGGGGGCGACATGGAGTAGAGGGGCGGCAGAGCCACCGGGTGGGTAGATTTTTTTTTCTACATTTAGCCTTGCTCCGGGCAAGCAGGACTAAATGTACAGCTGGGAAGTCGGTGTTTTTAGTACAAGTGATCCTGCCGATGTCGTGCTGCCTCTCCCCGCTGGCTTCCTCCCTTACCGCCTTGGTTTACGAGGTCCCCCGCTCCTCTAGGGGACCCAGGACCACAGCACATTCATCCACGGTGAAGAGTGGGGAGCCCCGTGTATACAGTGAGAGGGTAGAGCTGCACTCCTAGCCTTCCCCTCTCAGCTGTCACAGGAGTTCCAGCACATGGCTGTGCTAGAACTCCTGTATTGGAGGTGACAGGTTCAATAAAGAGAACCTGTCACCTCCAAATGCTATCACACACATGGGGCTTGTTAGCTCCTGTGTGAAAGCAATAAAGTTAAGTGAAAAAAAAATAATAATAAATAATAAAATGAATAAAAATTTAAAAAATAAGTAAAAAATAATAAGAAATAATTAAAATAAAAAATTATAAAAAAA